TTTTGCTATTTTACTATAGGTCTACAGACATCTGCTTCTGGGGAACTACGTTGTCATCATTATTTTCAAGGACTTTGTTATTGTTCATATAAACTTTTATTGTGTATAAAAATAGAATTTTCTCTCGTGGGGTTAAATGTAAATATAATGAGAAGAAAATATGTTTTATTACTTACCTTCTTCACTTAAATCAATTTTTCTAGGTTAGATTAGATGGTTAGATATAACACAATTTTAAAATTTCGTTTTAAGCAATCTTCACTAATTAATTTAATGCATTGAATGCATATGCAATTATTTGCAAATTTTGAGTTTGACATGCTAGAGAAGGATTAAAAATTCTACAAAGAATTCAAAATGCAAACATCTGAAGTTGTTCAACCATAAATGATTTAACCACATAGTCGAGGGAAGGAACGAATGCACTTCGTGTGCATTTTATGTATAATTTCTGCGTATCATAAATACTAGAATTATGAAAACCCACAACACAAAGTGCTGAAGCGGCATTATAGCACCTACGCACAGGAACAGGCACAGGCACAGACACTTGCAGAGGCAGAGGCAGTTGGAGAGACAGAGGCAGATGGAGAGACAGATAGGGAGGTCTCTGCCTCCAACAAAGGCAGTATATCTGCACTTCATGTTGTTCTGCGATATTTGGCACTGAACTGCATTCGAGCACCTTTGCGTGTGCAGGCAACCAGACAAATGCACTCACAAACTCATTTGCTATGCTGCAGCCTGCAATTCAAAGTTTGTTAATTGCGTAAAGTGTTCCAACACTTTAGCCAAAAATGTTAATTGCTCAATTGTTTAACCATGAAGAGCAGTGAAAATCGATTTGATGAGCTCCTCAAATCAAATTCAAGCAAAATGGCTTTAACAATTTTATGGAATTTTTCCACAAATAAGCGATTTATAAGCAATCGCACTAATTAAAAAATAATCAAATTCAAATTTGATATAAGCCAAAAATTCTTCGACTTTAATTTAAATTTGAAAATTATTTGGCCATACGATTTTGTAGGATTTTTAATAAAAATTTTAAGTTTCCCTTGTGTACTTTAGGCAATTCACAAAATTTATGCACTGCCACGAAAATTGCATTCAAAGCAGATAATAAATTTTGCTATAAAAGCGCACATAAGAGCCTTTGAACGGAGTGGATTTTTGGCGTTGCAAAAAGCTTATTTGTTATCCTTTTAATTTTTTGATTTTGAAATAATGGAAAGCAAACAAACTGATACCAACTCGTCGGCAAGTTCTCAACTACAATAGCGATTTTGCTATATTAAATAAACGAGAGAAAAGAATTTTAATTATGCATAATGCAAGTGCAAGTGCAAGCTGGAATGTGTTTACTTAGTTGCCAAATTTTCATTTCACTAAAACCACTTTTGAAAAACTCCTTAGAATTTTTTTAATATTTATTTACTTTACATTTTAGCAGCTTTAAGTTATTTTAATAATTTTACCAACTGCATTAAAGGCTTTGCTTGTTGCAAAAACTCCCGCAACGATGCTTAAAATCAAATCTATGATTGCAATGAAATATCCAAAGCAATTTGCAAAATTATAAATATTCAACTATATAATCACTATATAATACAAACTTATATATAGCCAAATTATACACAAAATTGCAACTGCATCTGCTGCATTTTCTTAGCAACTGCTTTTTAAGCAATTCGTTCTTAAAATGTAATCAAGATAAAAGCTTTTCCAGTGCAGCAAAGTATTTATTGCAAAATAAGCCACATCTGCACTCAGTGAGCACAATTCCATTTCTTCACCGAAACAAGTGACATTGCCGGTCTCTTATTAATGTACCTCCAGATGTAATTTTTTGTGAATAAGCTTTATTTTATTTTTATTAAAAATATCATTTACCTTATAAGCTTAAGTCAAACTCATGAAATGACAATAAGAACGAGTCAGCTAAACATTTAAATCCCTCAAAGAAAGCAAGGAAACTATTTTCTTTTGTAGAACAAGTTGCCGTCAATATTATTTGTATATTAAAATTAAAACTAGCAAAACATTTATTATAAAAATTAGCATTTATTATAATTAATAAAAACAAATTATTAACCGTAAAGTACCATAAATTTCTCTGTATTACATTCCTAGATTAGTTTCTATACTCAAGCAAAAATAATAAAATCGTGCAGAAAATAATGCCTCTACAAACAGAATAATATTGAAATTTAACAATTAAAAATAAAAAATATAATTAATTAATTCAATTATTCTACAGCTGGTTTATGATTTTGCTCTAATATAACACAACAAGTGAATTTGTAAATGAACTTTCACAGTAAATTAACAAAACTCCAAGTGCGAACATACAAGTCAAATACGGCTTTGGTTCAGTTGGCTAATGAACGCTGACTCTGAGCTGCAAATTTGGCAGGGCGCGAGTTCAACTCTTGGTACTTACAACCTCCAAAAATTATTTACGATAAGATAATTCTAAGACCATTGATGATAGGTACTTGGCAACACTGGAAACAGCTGTATGGTCAGCCAAATCAGAATTAATTCAAACTAATAAAAAAAATATTTGTTGCAACTTCACTACTGTTTGATAAAACGATAACGTCAGTAGTAGAAAACAATAGTTTATATTAAGAATGAAGTTTCTTTCGTCAAAACGGACGATCAAAATCTATTTAATAATTATAAAGGGAATGGATATACAAGTTAAAATGTTTTATTGCATTTAACTTGGTAAATCCCAGCGCGATTCTTGTCACTGTTCCCTCCAAGTTAACACACAGCCTCCACGTGGCCCCCTCTGGATAGCTACATTCATCCGTGCATAGTGAACTAATGTGTGCAGCGAAATCCTTCTCGTGGATATATGAGGTTATGCGTTAGGCTTGGAACCCACAATATAAAAACACCTTTCAATGAAAACGAAGAATCAGCCTCGGATAAGGAAACTGTTTACTGTTAACGACACACACAAACATTATAAGAAAGCAGAATTTAAATACTTAACATTTTATTTTTTAACAACAATTTAATATGAACTGTTCCTTTATGCTAAGAGATTACTACCACAGCTTTAAGAGACCACACATAGACGTCCGGATCTTTAGCAATACTAGTACGTATTTTAGTAACGAGATTAATAGGTTTAGACCTATTAAGTGCTATATGTCCATCTTGCTGTCGGATTAGTTAGTTGTTAAAAGTGCTTGGTAGTTCTTTTGCGTCAACAAAGGTCATTTAGTTTTTCTTTCTATATATGCAAGTTTCGAGATATCGCGATATTCTGTTAATTACAATACTAAATTTAGTATAATAAAGATAAAGTGTTGTAAGTATGCTACATATGTTTCATATGTCAACTATAAAGCTGATAATAATATTCCTGTCCTGCACTAAAAAAATGGATAAATTAAGGATTATGAAGTTTAATAGTATATACCACTAGCAATATCTATATATATTAAGTATTATATATAAAATTGTTTATTTTTGTGCATACGCAATAATATCTTTAACCGTCGAATCGATCCGCTTGATATATAATCATATACAATATTTATATAAAATAGTCCAATAATATAACATTCCCAATATTTAACGCGGTCATCACTTAAAGAAATTATTAGAATCCAATATTCCCCAACACTACCGAATATATCTGCATGATATTCATACTATCTGATCTCTATATAAAGAAACGTAGCATAACGTATAACATTTTCATATAGGGTCGATATTTAGGGCTACAGCCATACAAAAACTGTTGAAAATAGAATTTTTTTTTATATATATATAAATACATAATATATGATATATAAAAATATATATGATATATAAATAAAAATTGTTGATTTGGTAGCTAAATTATTGAGATTTATAGTTTAATAAAAATAGAAATAAAAAAATTTTACCGATTTATATAGAATTCATTTGCTTGTTTTTTTCGTGTTTTTTTTTTCAAATAAAATCATGCATTTTATGTGAGATGTAGTACTGTAAGTATTGTAAGGAATCTATAAACCTTTTAATAACATTTTGAAAAATAAATAAAATCAATACCTTTTAATATTATTCTGTCGTTGATATATTTTTCATTTAAAGATTCTAACATATTTGACTGATTTTCAAAGAAAGTATTTTTAAAATTGGTACTATTATTTTGAGTGACAAAATGGTATACTTCCTGAAAACATCCATGGCAGGCGAATAAAAAATTCAATGACAAATGAAGTGCTGCGAAAAAAATGACTATCCGTGAAAAAATTCTGCTCAATGTATCTTAACTGCGTTCTATTTGTACGCATATGTCAGTTAATGGATGTTAGTTTGTTCGAAGTTTTTACGCTTTTTGACTGAGTCTTTTAAAAACAAAGAACTCGAAAAAAAGTCCATCAACTGTTGTAGATTGCTTTTCAAAGCGAATATGAACACTTTAATTGGGCAAACAAATTGAAAATGTTTCGCAAAAATATATACACAGATACATTTTTTCATTATTTATAAAATTTGAAATTGAATACTGAAAAGGAAAAAGGAATTTAATTTTTTTATTATAATTTTTTGTATATCTATTTATATATCATTATGTATCATTTATAAGCCAGACAGAGTCTAGAGTTTTTTCCAACTTTCAAGAAGTATATAACTATGTAAATACAATTTCCAACCAATTAAGCAAATACCCTGACTTATAAAGTTAGATAAATAACATAATGAACAATAAAAGGTATCACATAACAACATATAGGATCAAATGAACCAAATGGGCCAAATGTTATCCACACATTAAAGAAAGTAGAGTCGTACACCAATAATAATACCCATAAACAGACAACATAAGATAAAAACGTGTCAAACAAACAAAGGAAGTAAAAGATCGTTAGACTCGGTGTGTCAAGCTAAAAGGGGACTATATTGAACCATAAAATATAATATTCCAAAAAAAATTCGTTTTTATTACGCAGACAGGTATTTATCAATCCACCTGGTATATGGTTAGCCCAAGAATTCTCTTAATAAAAAAAATTGTTTTTGGATTTGAAAAGCAAATTTGAATTATTAAAGATTTCTTGTTATAGTCAATAAAATTGTTAATATCATTCTTATGGCAGACATTGACGTGATCTGTAGAATGAATAATCCTTCAATTAAACCGAATTTCTTTCCACATACCATTCTATTAAAATTTGTTGAAAAACAGTAATAACAATAAAGTCATATCTGGAAAATCTGTTAAGTTGAAAAATAATTAAATTTATAAATTCAGTCTTCGAAGATAACGAAAAATTATCATGTAATGCACTATATTAAGTTGAAGGAATAGATCTTTCCTACAAAGCTTTTGTTTCCTTTTAGCAGTTTCAATCACCGAATCCATTTAAATTTATACAGAATTGCAATGTTATATTATTTTGACCATTATACTTTTTTACAATTAATTTTGTTTGTCAAATTATTTATTTTCCAATTCACCAAAAAATAAATGCAATAAAAGATATGCCTATGAAAACACTCAATTACCTCACACTTGGGTTGAGCACTCCTAATCGCACGTAAATCCACAAATTGTTGCAAATATGCTGAAATTGTTTTACTTTTGCGGTGTAAACTTCGCCTGGCCAACTTTGTTAATCTGTTTGATTTCGATTTGCATGTGAATTACCCATTGAACCCATTTAATGCTTAGCCAACACTGTCAAGTGACCAAGTTTAAAAAAGCATTTGTTTAACATGTGCACATCGTAATCCTCAAAAATAAGCTCTTT